TTACCAAGACCTTGTAAAGTGGTATTAATACTTCACGTGATCTTGATTCTATCCCTCTGTTAATGCAGCCCAGCACTGTGTTGGCTTTTTTTGGCAGCTGCAGCACACGGCTGGCTCAGATTTAAGTGATTGTCCACTAGGACTCCGAGATCCCTCTCACAGTTACTACTATTGAGCAAGCCTTCTTGAGGTTGGAATAAGCAAGATCCAGTGTATTCTCCCCTCTGGTTGCAAAGTCCACCTATTGATGGAAATGTGGCAGGGTGGCTTTCAAATCCACTTGATTAAAATCTCCCACTGCAATAAATGCACCCTCTGGGTGAGTAGATTTTAAGTCACTGATGGTGTGATAGAGAACCTTCAGGGCGGGGGACTTCCGGTGGCAGGCGACCTCGTCGGACGCAGCTGTAGCTGCCTCCCGCCTGTTTTTGCGTAAAAGCCGTTTTGACAGCTAGCATCAGCTGTCAAACGGCTTGATACCTTTCCCCTGGGCAGAGGGGGATAGGTGAGCTACCTGGGGTAGGAGTTGAGTTCCCGAATCGTCCCTTGTGGACGATGTAGGTGAGAACTCCTCCGGAGCCCCGGGCTTCTCCGCGATCCAGGACGCCTTCGCGTTAGCGAAGCTAGAAGCTGCCGCCACCGCTGCAACTTAAAGAGAACTGTGAGTTTTTTCCTGTAAGCAGACGAACCGACCCTGGATGTTTGCTTTTTATCTTGGACTTTACTCTAACTTGGATAATAAGTTCTTCCCTGCACTTGAGGTGGATTGAGGGAAAGTGAACTTAAAATGGCGATGGATTGATACTTTTCAGCAAGAAGTGAAAGTGATTTCCGGTTCGGAACTTTCACTATTTCTAACCGGTGGATTATCTGCGTTGTTTGGATTGCTTATAAGACTTTTTAACAACTTGAACTTTATTGCAAATATGGCTTCGAAAAAAACTGTGCTTTCAACTGTAAAATATACTACATCTCCGATGTCTCAGACATCCCAGCCAACCTCAAAAACTTCCCACCCGCCACACCCTCCATCTTCTTCGTCCCCACCGTCTTCTGGCAGAGCTGCAGGATTTGATGTCCGCAACTATTAAACAAATGACTGAGATGTTTCAAGCGATGGATGTCAAAATGCAAAATAGATTTGATCAATTATCACAACAACAATTGGATTTATCACAACAACAGCAAGATTTATCACAGAAACATGAGGATTTTTGTGTGAGTGTGGCAACTGCTTTTAAAGGTTTGGCTGATTACGTAGACGCGGTGGC